CCAACTTTTTCTTATTTCTTAGCCTAAGCCACCTACTCATGTTCCTAGTATTTCTTCCTCAAATGCAATGTTTTCTTCTTGTGGCACGTCAATCATTTATAACTTTGATATAAATCTCAGAGTTATATCTAGTGTTGAGTTAAGTGTTTTATATTCTCCTCATACTAATCTGAATGTTAAATGTATGCATAAAGTTAAGAATCTTGTTTTTATTTCATTGGTAGAGTCTTTGATCAGTTTTGGTGTTGAGTATTCTTCTATTCCAAGGGTTAATTCACTTTGGCTAAAGTTTCGGATTGAATATATATCCCCACTTGTGAGTGCTGCTAAAAACCTTTGCTTTACTATTATTGCTAAGGAGTTTATGTATTCCCTTGAAAGTGTGGACATTATTATTAATTTTCTTGTCTTAAGTGTTGAGTTGTGTATTGAGGAGTTTGAGCAATATAAATCTTTTGTTTATATTGTGGTGGCTGAAGTATTTTATAATAAGAAGTCCCTTATTTTCCAAGCTTTGACCATATGTCATTATTTTGATTTCCACTTTGGCTAAAATTTCGGGTTGAATGTATGTCCCCACTTGTGAGTGCCACTAAGAGCTTTTGTTTTACTATTGTTGCTGAGGAGTTTATATATTTCCTTGAGAGTGTGAATGCTATTATTGATTTTCTCGTCTTAAGTGTTGAGTTATGTGCTGAGGAGGTTGAGCAGTGTGAATCTTTTACTTATATTATGATAGCTGAAATATTTTATAATAGGAAGTCCTCTATTTTTCAAGCTTTGAACATATGTCATTCTTTTGATTTCCCCATTCTATATTGCCAATTGCTATAAATTCCTCTTCCAATGCATCTTTATCTATTTTTTTTTCCACAATTGTTTTTCCTCAATTTTTCTCATGTTCTCCTTTCTGCCCTAACACTTTAAACTTTTTTTTCTTCAAAAGACGAGGTAGAGGGGATGGACAAGAGTCCGGCCTCAATGATGGAGTGAGGATGAACAAATATGGTAATGGAGAGAGGATGAATGACATGGATTGTAAAGTGAAGATGAATATAGTAAGTAGGAATGGAACATCTAACCCAAACATAGTGAAGAACAAATATGATAATGGAATGAGGCTAAACATAAATGGTAGAGTGAGGATAAACACAACAAATCCTGATAGAGTTAGTATTTCAAAACTCTTTTTTCTTGCAATCTTGGACAAAGATGATAGTTCTACTTATAGTCTTAAGTTCGAGTTAATGGTGGTCTTGGAGGATCGTCAACAAGCAAACTTAAAAACAAGATGTATTATTTATTGCAATAATTTTCTATGGACTGTAATGGCTCTTAAAGTCCTTTACTTTAATTGAAAGTTATGGTTGTATAGCTAGTTTGAGCATTTGGGAGTTGCAATTGATTCACCAGGATTCCATAGTCGACTAATGTTTATACCATGGCTTTTGTTTTATTTTAATCATGGTTATCAACAACTTTGTTGATGGTTTTATAAATTCTTATGATAATTTATAATTGCCTAATAGAAACTCTATATGTTCCACCTGATTTATCATCATCACTTTTTCATCTTCCAGAGGGGAAGATGGTGTAAGGTTTGTAAATACATATATATATATACATGTATTACCTAGGTAATACACTTTATAATACTATAACATATGGAATGTCTATTTAGGACTGAATATAATCCATCCATTCTTGTATATAAGCAGGGGTCTAAACCTTAATTAATATACTTATTCCTATAAGTATAAGTATAAAAAAAATCAATAAGTACAACATAGAAATATCTATTTATTCTTTATATTTTTTTTGTTACAATAATATCGATAAAAATAAAGTGATAATGGCTGAAGGCACATGGGCCATCCAATTGTAAGCCTTGGGTAGGTTCAATTTGCATGATTTCAATAAATTTTTAATAGATGTTTTGTTTGGCTAATGAAAACTTGGTTTATAACTTGCTTAAGTGAGATAATACAGATGTCCATTTAGTAGATATTTAGAATATATTTGGATATTCTAGGATATTCTACCATTTAATTCTAGAACATTTAATGGTTAATGTGTAATAAATTTAATCTCATGGTTAGAAATTATAAAATTCCTATCAATCAATTATATTAATAAATAATAAGCACCACTATTAAACAAACAAAGCATTGGTATATATAAAGTGCAGTAAATCATTTTTATATTTCTTTTAAAAACATTTCTGATTTTTGTTTACATAAGAATAAAGTAAGAGGCTTTAGATTCAAACACCAAATTGTATAACTAACTTAAACAGTCCTTGATAATGATGATATAATTGTTAGAAGGCATCATCACAATTATCAACATTTCTAAATGCATGCTTGAAGACATCTGGGAGGAGGTTCCACACTTAAACCATTGTACCATTATAACATTGTCTCTTTGAGACATGTGGGAAACTCGTGCAAACATTAAATATCATTTCAAGAATGATAAATGGCAATTGTCATAAATTGATTTAACCAATGATCAATATCATCCTTGGGATTTTTACAGAAAAAATTTGGTTGGACATAAGGATGGGCAGAAAGAGCAAGAAGAGTTGCACCATTTGCCATAAATATCACCATCAACTAAAATTAATTGTTTAGTTGCAACTATATAACATTAAACAATTATATTAATTATTGTTCCAGACTCAAAAAAGGAGGAAGCTATTGCTTTGCCATTAAGATGAATGAAATAAATAAAAGCAAAGAAAGAAGAAATGGAAAAAATATAAAAATGAAGAAGAATTAGATGATACAAAGTTAGATCTAAACCAAAAACATAAATCTAAGCATTCCTCAGGACAATTAAAGTTACCCCTCAACTCTATCAATATAAATGCATGAAGTATAAAAATTTGTATGTCTGATTAGCCTAAAAACCTTAACTTATTTATAAGATCGAGTGTTCTCGATTGAAACCAATTTGATAATTATCAAAATCCCAACATGATAATATTAGTATAAAGCATTGTAGCCATACACTTAGACTTCATACCCATAGTTATACATCTTGACCTCAGATTTGTAGTTGTACCTTATAACGCTATATTTAATTTTTTTTATTAAACTAGTTTTTATTAAATTAATGAAACTAATCTTATAAAATTTGAAACTAATCACTTCATTTAATATATTATTTAAAAAATATATATACTTAGATTCATAGTTAAAGTACTATTACTATTAATAAAATATTTTTAAAAGCATTATAATAGTATTTTTAGAACAAATCCTAATAATTTATTATGTTTAAGAATGTTTTTGATAAACACCAGATTAATCTAATGGTATAAAGTTAGAGCTAGAAGGTGTTTAGGAAATTTTTGTAAAATATAATCATGTTTAAATTTAATAATAAAATTATTATAAATAAATAATAACCCTTAAATTGTTATTATCATTCTGGAATATTCAACTATATTCTAGGTATATCCACTACCAGTTGGGAATAATAAAAATCATGAAATACAGTTTTCTTTTCTTTTTTCTATTTTTTGAAATATAAATTTTATTTTACTTGTGGTACATCAAGCCTTGGTTGTTTTAGATAAATAATATTAAATTGTGACACATTGCATTATAGAAAATTTTGATTTGCTTAGTTTGTATTAAAACAAATTATTATGATTTATGTATTACAAGAAAATGTTTTTCCTAGTTGAGCATACGGTATAAACCACACAATACACTTTCCATCATGTTTAAGAATGTTTTTAACAAACACAAGTTTAACCTACTGGTATAAAAGCTAGATAAGCTAGAATATGCTATAATCATAAATTATAAACACGAGATTAATCTAAAGGAATAAATAACCATTAGATGGTAAAAAATTCTAAAATATCTAGGTATATCCACTAAACAAACAATAAACCCATTGAGAATATATAAAAAAGAAGGGGAATAATCAAAAGCATAAAATATGTTAATAAAATTTACATTTTATTCTACTTCTGGTTTTTCATCAAGCCTTCGTGGCCAGCATTGCTGTTGCAACTCCAGCGATTCCAACAGCAAGAGCGATGCTTCCTCCGTGCTTCATTCCAAATTCAGCAACGTTGACACAAGAATTGACGGCAGCATAACCCTTTCCATAGATTTCCTTCCCGACGATGTTGTAGATGGCACGAAGTGGAGCGAGCACGGCCTGGTATGCATATGGGAGGTACTCAGTTGCGCCAATGGCATCAAAGAGGGAGTCCAGGAACCACTCGCTGTGAGAGGAAGCCTCCACGTTGTTAACCATGATGTTGCCGGAGAGAGTGAATGGGTTGTAGAGACCCAGCTTCTCCACCTTGGAAAGTTCTATAATTGTCAAAAGTAAGAGCAAAGTCTCAAAAGAAGTATGATGTTACCAGTGATTTGAGATGATCCCCAGAGAGTTTCTCCAACCTGGAGATCCTTGGCTCGCTTGTACACAAGCTTTCCCTTGGCGTCGACTGGGATGAAGTGGCCCTCGCTAAGCTCGATCATGTCTGAGGCGGTGTGGACCTGGATGAACTCCGAGATCACGTCGGCGTCCTTGTGGCCGAATGCATAGACATCGGAGAACACGTTTTTGCTCACTGCAACCTGTAGATCTGGAACGTTTAGATGGGCTTTCGAGAAACTTAAGAGCAATACAATACCTTGTCTCCAACTTCGAGATCTCTCATGAGTTTGAGGTCGCCGTTATACATTTGGACGGTGGCATCGCCTTGCAAACATAAAGCCTGTGATTGGCTGTAAAATCGCTTGCAGATTCTTACCTGGGAAACATGAGGTGTTGGTGTTGGTAGCTAGAACAACGCTAGCAAGAACAGCAAAGAGAGAAATAGCAAAGAGTAAAGTGTGAGCCATAGAGAATGGAAGGTTATATTGAGAGATAGGAAAAGAAGCTCTAGAAACAATGTTAAATACTAGAAACGAGTGCCTATGACATGAGGCTAGCGGATCAAAGTTGGTGATCCTAAAACTAGGGAGTTTGATTTAACAGAGATTTTCTCTTATCTTTGAATTTGAGAGGAGCACAAACGCGGCATTATTGACAGGATCTAATCCAAGAACTCTCTCTACGGCTCGAGCTGTCGACTGATCGTCCTTGTGGCTTTTACAAGCACTTAGAATGCATCTCCAATCGGTGACTTCAGGCTGGAAAGGCATATGCTGGACGAGATCCTCGGCGTCTCTCAAGCGCCCAGCTCGTCCAAGAAGATCAACCATGCAGCTGAAGATCTGCCTCGTTAGAGCAAAGCAAAAGTCCGTTTGGATCGAGTGGAAGAACACTCTTGCTCTTTGGGAACGTCCGGCACGACTGCATGCAATTAGCACGCAAATGAGAGAAATCTCATCCACTTCAAAACCATTTAGAAGCATAACGGAGAAGAGATCTAAAGCAGTGCAGTGGTGGCCATTGTGTGCAAATGCTACCAACAAAGTGTTCCAAGAAGCCATGCCCAGTTTGGGCATCCGATCTAGAAACCGGACAGCCTCAAGTAGATATCCTTTTTGTGCAAATGCTCCTAGCATCTGATTCCATGAGATGCTATCTCTTTGGACCATGTTGTTAAAAACGCTGCTGGCAGCTTTGAATTCCTTGCGCTGGCCGTAACCAGCAAGAAGAATGTTCCATGAAACTAAAGATTTTTCTGGCATTTCGCTCAGGAAAGCCTCCATTTCATAGATATGCCCAAAATGGGCATACGCGTACAAGAGTGTATTCCAAGAGACCAAGTTTCTTTCGGGCATGGCGTCAAAGATCTTCTTAGATTCTTCCAAGTTCCAGGTTTGTGACCACGCAGCCAGAAGTGTAGTCCATGAAAAGAGATCTCGACAGTTCATAGTTTCAAACACTTTTAAAGTGGAGCTCAAATCTCCAACGTGGGCATAAGCAGCGAGCATGGAATTCCACGACACTAAACTCCACTCGGGCATTTGATCAAACAGTTTCTTAGCTCGATCAATATCACCACTTTGTCCAAATCCTGAAAGCATGGTGTTTCTAGTGACAGTGTCTTGCTCATCCAAACGAAGGAAAAGCTCCAGTGCATCATGAATAAGATTGTTCTTCACGTACGCACTGAGCATCAAATTCCAGGAGAAATAGTTCCACTGTGGCATGGCGTAAAACACTCGTTTGGCCTCTTCAAGTTGTCCTTTCAAGGCAAATGCCGAAAGAAGCGCGTTCCAGCAAACAATGTCTCTCTCCACAGCAGTTTCAAACCAATACCTGGCTTCGCGGGTGTTCCCGTCTCGGGAAAACGCAGCTAGGATTTCAGTCCACGGGATGACACTCCACTCGGGCATCTGGTGGAATATCTCCGTGGCATCTCTAACATACCCGTTTTGGGCATATGCCGAGAGCATGGAATTCCAAGCCACAAGGTTCCTGTGAGGGATCCGATCAAAGAGCTCTTTCGCGCTATCGACGCGTCCGCTTCGCGCATAGCCATTGATCAACAGGACCCAAGTGAAAGCAGTCTTTGGATGCGTGGTGTCAAAGATGTGGTGGGCACGGTGGAGGCTCCCGCAGCTCACAAACATATGGAGTAACAAATTGGAGAGGAACGTCCCATCGGGACTGGAGAGATGGCCGGAGTTACGCACTGTTAGATAGACTCGCTCAGCTTCTTCGTGTACAGTCTTGCAAGATTTTACCAGTTGCACACATTCTTGTAACCCAAGGTTCTTATTTTCCATTAATGCAATATATTAATTATATCAAATAATGGAGCATAAGATGCAAGGAGGCGCTGGATGCCAAACTTGCGAGGTGCTGCAAGGATTTGGCCCGCGAGGTGGTCGCGGAATGTAGAGAGCACAAATGTCTCAGAAACTTTTATGGGTCTGGGAGCTTCACTCTCACTGATATCGGTCGCGCCGAGCTCATCCTCTACGGAATCTCTTCTCCAGCACACTCGAGAAGCAGCGCTGCATCTTGAGCTCGCTGGGCAGTGTCAAGGAGGTGGACTTGGACCTCCTGGTCGCGGCTGTGTCCAGGCTCCGCAAGCTTGGCGATCTGGGGACTCTTGAAGCGAGTGTGCTTGACGGACTATATTTCCTGAAAGAGGTAATGCTTTCCATGTTTCTAGTACATATACTCAAAGTTCTTCTAGGATCTGGTGACTGCCAGCCGAGTTTTTGGTAGGAGGCAATTGTCACTCGCAGCAGTTGATGAACGCCGTTGTTCAAGCCGTGGAATACGTCCACTATGACTTTAGGAACTGTAAGCGACTGGACTTTGACCCAGCTAAGCCCATGGATCACGTTGCGGCACTCATTGTGGCGCCATTGGAGCCGGGGGAACTGCTCAGGGGAATCAACAACTCTCCAGTTCTGGAGCAGCTGACGACGAAGGCCGGATCAGTCGGTGCATGCCGAAGCTGCAATGATTTGCATTGAGCACGCAGTGATGTGGCTCTGCAAATCCAAGCTTCGGGCTTTTGCTGTGACTTGTAAGTTTTTCCAAGCTTGTTTCTCTTGTTCCGTGTATAGCAAAACTTTCCATCGAGGATGAGATGTTCCAAAGGTTGGTACGCCGCTATTCTCATAAATAACGTGCCAATCAAACAGGAACGTTCGTAATCCCATCACCTCTGGAAAGAGGTATCCGGGTTATAGCCATTGGTGACAGGTTGCCTATCATTTCTTTTTCTTGTTTTTTTTTTTTTTTTTTTCGTGTAAACTTCACGTTCTTTCACTCCAGTGATGTTCAAAGAACGCGAGGTTCTCAATAAACTTATCGCTATCTTTTTTATGATCAAAATAAAAGACCATTGTGCATATAAAATTTATAATTAAAAGTTAGCACTAATTAAGTGAATATGGAAAAGACCTTTTGAGCCGTTCCTTGGAGTGGGAAATATATGAATGGCGGGCCGTGGGCGGAGGGTGGCATGCATTGCATGGCACAAGCGGACAATCTCCCGCCACCAGGGGTATCGCCACCACCACCCTCCACTGTGCTGCGAGTAAGTGTGGCCATGGCTTCTTCCTCTCGAGATTCAAGCCTTTTATTTTAACCCCCTTTCTTGCCTCTCTTCTCCATCTCTAGATCCTACCATGGCGCCTCCCGGATTGGAGGTGGCATCGTCCTCGCCAGAGATCCAGAAGATCACGCCGCTCGATGCTGCTGCTGCCGTGGTGGAGGATGATGGTACCTCCGCGTCCTCGGAGTCCATCGCTACTGCTGCGAGAGATCGGGTTGCAGTGATTGGGAGTGGGAATTGGGGGAGCGTTGCGGCCAAGCTCATTGCTTCCAACACTTGCTGCTCTGATCTCTTCGATGGTAAAGTATCGATCGATCGAGTCCTTCTTTAGAACTTTCTTTCTTAGAGTTTTTGTGCTTTAGATGAGGTGAGGATGTGGGTCTACGAAGAAACTCTTCCAAGCGGGGAGAAGCTTTCGCAGGTTATCAACAGGGAAAAGGTTCGTTCATAGGAAGTAGTGTTCTTTCTTTCTTTCAACGAGAAAGCTATGGAAAACTATTGGTCTTTGCAGGAAAATGTGAAATACTTGCCTGGAGTTAAGCTTGGATCCAATGTAGTTGCAGTGCCAGACCTTTTGAATGCTGGTAAGCGATGCTCCTCTCCCTTTTTCGTTTTCTCGTGTGTTCTAAAGGAAATATGTTCTAACCACGAAACAAAACAGTGGCTGATGCAACGATGTTGGTGTTCGTAACTCCTCACCAGTTTATCGAGGGAATTTGCAATACATTGAAAGGAAACATACGCCAGAATGCTATTGCCATCTCGCTGATAAAAGGAATGGAGGTACTATTTTCTCTTTTCTATAGACTAGCTTTTAGCTGTGTTTCACTTCTAGACTAGCTCTTAGCTCTTTCTTACAAAATCCTTTTTCTTTGTTTTTTCCTTCTTTTTTTTCTCATCCAGGTCAAGAAAGACGGGCCATGCATGATCTCCAACTTGATCACGGAGCTTCTTGGAATTGACTGCGCTGTTCTCATGGGTGCAAATATTGCCAACGAGGTAGAATCTTTCAAAGTTTGGTGAACCCTCTGTCTCAAACACGAGAGAACTCGCCAGGTAGCCGTGGAGAAGTTTAGCGAAGCAACTGTTGGCTTCAGGCATGATAAGCGAGCTGCAGATAAATGGGTGCGAATTTTTCGCAGGCCTTATTTCCTGGTGACTCCTGTGAGTGTTTTCATAATCCTTTTTTTTTTTTTTTCCCCTCTCTTTGTCAAGCTTTCTTGTTTTAATCCTACTTACAGGTACAAGATGTGGAAGGTGTGGAGTTGTGTGGAACACTGAAAAACGTCGTTGCTGTTGCCGCTGGTAAAGCTATTCACTCTTTCGCATATATTAAGTTATACTCTTTGATGTAACCGCAGGTCTGGTGGATGGCTTGGACATGGGCAACAACACAAAGGTGACTGCGTGTTCTTGCCATGAATATATTCCCCACGTTTTCTCTTGTATTGGAAATGCTTGCAGGCCGCAATCATGCGAATCGGGCTGAAAGAGATGCGATTCTTCTCAAAGCTGCTGTTTCCCTCGGTTCGAGACACCACCTTCTTCGAGAGCTGCGGCGTTGCCGACCTTATCACAACATGCCGTAAGTTTTCCATCGTTTTTTCTCCATCGTAATCTTGTTTTAGCCGGTTTTAATCTTCTCGTGACTTTTGTGCTTGTCCAGTTGGAGGTCGCAACAGAAGAGTGGCCGATGCATTCGCCAGGAACAAAGGGAAGCGGTACGTTTTTCCATAAACAGAGAAAAAAGAAAAGATTAGAAGAAACTTACCTTGACATTTCAGCTCCTTCGACGACTTGGAAACCGAGCTTCTCCAGGGTCAGAAACTCCAGGTAAAAACAACTCATCGAAAGCTTGCAGCTCGTAGAATTGTCATCCTTTTCTTCTCTACCAGGGAGTTTCAACCGCGAGAGAAGTTTATGAAGTTTTGCGAGCTCGAAAGTGGGAAGAATCGTTCCCACTGTTCTCCACAGTCCATCTCATAGCAACTGGAGCTCTGGCCCCGTCAGCCATCGTCGAGTACAGCGAGCACACTCCTCGACAAATCACTAGCTCCCAAATCCAGTATTCGTCGCTATGAAACAAAGCCAGACTCCAGAATTACGATCAGAAAGAGATGCTTTGAGAGAAAACAATAAAGAGCGAGAGAGTGAGAGAAACCAAAACTTTTCCTTCCTCCAACCAGACCAATGTACAATACAAATCTTTCGAGAGGAACGAACGACAAACACAAAGAAAACAAAAGCTTGGAGGGAGTGAGGAAGAAAGAGAGAAGTACCAAAGTTATATCATAAATGCTTCCCTGATCAAGACAGTTGATCCATTTAAAGTCCCATGTTCATCGCAAAGTCTCCATCGCCATTAAAGTCGCGACCATGACTTTGAATCAACAGCAGTGAGCGATAACTAGTAGAGCCTTCGATCGATTCTTCAAACTTTGTTTGATTCTTCGTTGTCATCTCTATCTTCATCCCTGTTTGTCCTGCCTGTGGTTGCGGAGAATCGAATTCTTGTTTGTTAGAGAACGAACGGGATCACTGCTCGCCGAGAGGCTGGAAACTCCGGAAACTTTGAAACATACCAGCGGCGGTGAGCCACAGCTCGCGGGATGAGATTCGCGGCTGTGAAGATGAAGAAGACGAGGCCGGCGGGGGACCAAGTGAGAAGAGCCCAGCCGAGCCACTCGAGGATCTCTCCGGAGTAATTCGGGCATGCAACGAGCGAGAAGAGCCACCCCTGTGGCAACTTATATCCCCCTCGCTCCTCGCCGGGCTTGCGCAAGGAAATAAGAACCGAGTCGGCCCAGACGTTGGTCACCATCCCGGCCGCAAAGAGCAAGCTTCCAGAGATGAACTGCGGACTCCGGAGCCAAGTGTCGGGATAAGTTCCAAACTCGGACAGCCACCGCGCCTGGAGATATCCGTTGTAGATGTTGAAGACGAAGGAGAGAGCGACGATGGCGATGGAGATCGTCTTGCCCCTTGAGCGCATGCGAAACGGATAGATGAGAGCCCTGTGCGTGTAGTGGAGCTGGAAAAGTCGGAGGAGGACGAGCGGGACGGTTTCGCTGGAGTGCTTCCCGGCCGAGAAGACGAGGAGAGTGAACCAGAGAGCCGGGCTTTCCATGAGAACCCATCCATCTCGGGCTGGCATGCTCGGCCCCCAGACGTCCAAGGAAGAAGACGGTGCTGCTTGAGTGTGGCGACCGTATGGTGCTGTGATTCTCGTCAGCGACGCAGCGGTGGAGAAAGCTAAGATGATGTTCAGCCAGAGCGCCTTCCAGTACCACTGCTCTTCTTCCATCCCAGTCTTCCAATCCCCTGTTCTTCGACTTTTTCCACGAGACTTTCTCGGTTTCTTGGTCTCTTTCCTTGGACTTCTGAATCTGCCTCAAAATCTCTCTTTTCCGCCTTGAGGAGATGGCCACCTGTTTTCTCTGCCCCGTAAAAAACTACCTCGATTTTATGGTTACGATACTGCTACCATCTTTCCGGGATTCTTGGCTTGCTGACCACGCAAAAATACCACCACCAACACCTCCAGATCTCCTATGTTTCTAGCTCCTTCCCTGTAGCTTGCTCTCGGGAATTCAAAACTCTTGTCTCGTTGTCTCCCCCGGCATGAGTTTTCTATAGCGCTAAAATCCTGCCCAAGTTGCATGATGCAGCAACAATCACCAAATTCTCCGCATTCTTTAAGCTGTCCCTCCCCTGTTCCCCATGGAGTACTTAAAACTCGAAAGACTTGGTCGATCCCCCACTATCCCGTGAATATCTAGATGATTATTGTAGGCGAGCACGGGGTACTTACCTGTCCACTACCACCAACTTAATCTCTCTAGAGTGCCGCGAGCACAGATACTTGCCCGATCTAGAGATCTTTTCGTGCAGTCACCTTCCTGTTCCATATCTTCGCTATCTCCATCTTAATGCTTGTCGCTGACGGCCTGTCTACGAGAAGACTTTTCCTGCTGTGGATTCTGAGAGTGCTGCTGTCATGCTGGCACGGAGATCACGCGTAGCCTGGCCAACATCCGACTGATCAAACAGCGTTGAGACGACGGCCACGCCATGTAGCATCGCCGGACGTGAGTTCATGACTTCTTCCACGTTTGCCGCAGATATACCACCAATGGCCACCACCGGAAGTGGGCTTGCTTCGCAGAGAAGACGCAAGCCGTCCAAGCCTATAGTTTTGTTTTTCTTCTTCGTGGTCGTTGGATAGACTCCTCCGCAGCCAATGTAGTCAGCACCATCTTCGTAAGCTTTTACTGCTTGTTCGACTGTCTTGCAGGACGTGCCGATGATCTTGCCGGGACCAAGAATTGAGCGTGCAAGTCGGACTGGCATGTCTGTCTGTCCGAGATGGACACCGTCTGCATTGCACGCGACAGCCACGTCCACACGGTCGTTGATCAGTACAGGCACGCCATACTTTCGACCAATAGCAAGGGAAGCCTCGGCAATCTGATCACAAAACTTTAAAAACAAAGACACAAAAGTGCGCGCAAAGAGTATAGTATACATACTTTGATGAATTCCAACGTTTCAGCCTCTTTCTCTCTGGAAAGAATCGTCACGACAAATATGAAAATCAAAACGAGTACAAGTACCTGATCTGGATTATGGTAGCACCACCTTGTATAGCTTGTTCGACTGCTGCAGGTGTCGATCTGTCCCAGCGTTTGTTCATACCAGAATCTGTAACTGCATATAGGAAGAGCTTCCTGGGGTCGAAGCGACATTGGCGAGAGGAGAGCTTTCCCCAGTCAGCAAGCTGAAAAAAATGATTCATTGGGCCCTGAGCTCCCCCACCAATTTTTATGCTGCTGCTATGCTCGAGAGCTTTTGCAACGTACTCCTTCGCAGCCTGACGCGACAACGTTAGATCAGTGATAATGAAAAGAATGGATCATTGACGCAAGTGTTTACCATGACAGCCGGAAGGACGTCTAAACCTTTAGCGAGCTCAGCCGCTATTGAGGCAGCCAATGTGCATCCAGTTCCATGAGTACTCCGTGTTTTTATGCGACTTCCCCGCAACTCGTGCCATTCAGAACCTGTCGATTAAAAGAAGATAAAAAAGTCACAGAACAACCAATGTAAGATTTACCATCGTAAAGAACGTCCACAAGATCGTGCGAGTTCTTCAGATGTCCCCCTTTGACAAGAACATACCTGTCGAAAGAAAACCACCCTCAAATCCAATAATAAAATATTTTTGCTCTCACCTTGGTCCCATTCGGTGAATCTCTGCCGCAACTTCTCTCATGTCAAGCACAGTATTCACAGGTTTACCATCAGCTAGAACCGAGGCTTCCAACATATTTGGTGTCACGATAGTCGCCAAAGGAAGCAGAGCTTTCCTGCGAGGGAAACAAACACAAAAAAGACGTATGAAAATCGCGAAAGACGAGCTGGAAAATCCATACCTCAATCGATCCAAAATGCTAGGACCTGAAAGCTCATGCCCACTCGTTGACACCATGACAGGATCCACCACCAAAGCTGCAAAACTTTCGCAAAGTTCGTGAGCGCTTTGGACGAAACTAAACAAGAACATACATCCAATCGAGTACTGTTTGATCCTAGAGCACACACTCTGGATGATCTCGGGAGAAGCCAGCATTCCCGTTTTCACCTGGAAAGATTCGTGAAGCACGAGACAAAAGGAGGAAAGAACTTACCACATCAACGTGAATATCATCGAGCACCGAGTTTATTTGCTGTTCCACAAATGCCGCTGGTAGAGTACTTATTCCCTGGACTAATGAAAAATCCTTGAGCTAAAGGAGAGATCCAATCCAGCGAAGGAGCAAACCTGGACGCCGATCGTGTTCTGCGCGGTGACAGACGTGATCGCGGAGCAGCAATAGACGCCACGAGCAGCGCAGGCCTTGATATCGGCTTGAATTCCCGCTCCAGCGCCGGAATCCGAGCCAGCGATCGTGAGAACGCACGGGACATGGACTGGCGAGTCCGTGGAGAACGCCGCCGCTGCTGTGACGCTCTTGAATCGGAAGGAGCAAGCGAGATTTAGCATCATCTCTCAGATTTTTAGGGTTCTTGAGAGGGTTTTAGGGTTTATTGGGCAAATGCGATGATTCGATCGCATGGCGCCATCGCCCTCGCGAGTTTTGCGTCGAAATGTGACGAGCTTGTGCCTTGTCGCGGCGCGAAATGCAGCATTTCCTGTGGAGCGACGAGTTCTTCTTCCTCTTCCTCCTCCAATAGCAGCGAGAATTATCGGCGAACTCTTGAGGCGCTCAAATCGAAGAATAGGAGGCCAAAGCGATGGCTTGGACAGGTAGCATTTCTTCTTCTTCTTGAGTTTGAGTCGATGATGCTTGTCGCCCACCCAGAATTACATGGTAAATTCGAATATCAATGACGAAATCGTGAGAGCTGCCGAGATCCAACCGGGTGATTTGGTGCTGGAAATTGGGCCGGGCACTGGAGCTCTTACGGATTCCCTCTTGTGTGCCGGAGCTTACGTTATAGCTGTAGAAAAGGTTCGCGAAATCTTTCTTCCTTCTATCATTTTATCTATCTCGTGTAGGATCCAGACATGGTCTCTCTGGTTTCCGAACGCTTCAAAGATAATCCTAGAGTGAAGGTAGTCTCTTTCTTTTCTCTCTCATTTTTCTCTCCTTTCAGTTGTTCCAGGACGATATTTTGAAGTGGCATATAAGATTACATCTAAGCAACTGGATGGAAACCATCAAAAGTCCATCTAAACTTGTTAAGGTGGGGTGTGTCTTTCTTTTATTCCATTTCTTTGACTTCTCTTTCATTTTGTTCCCTGAATACATCTTTGTTTCAGGTTGTCTCCAATCTGCCTTTTAACATCACAACGGATGTTGTGAAAAAGCTGCTACCTATGGGAGACTTGTTTTCTAACGTAGTGCTGCTTTTACAAGTATGGTGGGAGCTTATGTATGTCTTTCCAGAGCACTAAAGCGAGCGATCCTGTAGGATGAGGCTGCTGCAAGGTTTATTGACGATTCTCCAAAAGGAGATGAATATCGGCCCATCAGCATATTCATTCGATTTTTCTCAGGTGAGCCTTTTGTTTTTTATGCTTCCTTCAAAACCTTTACTTGTTTGCAGAGATGGAGTACAAATTCAAAGTGGATCGCTTGAACTTTTTCCCTCCTCCCCCTGTAAGTGTTATCAAGCGTACGCGCCGTGCGCATATTTTAATGCGTGTGTCTTCTAGCAGGTTAACGGTGCGGTTGTGTCCTTTTCCTTGAAAGATAGTTCTCAATACCCTGAAGTCAAATCTGTCAAGAGGTTCTTTACTCTGGTTAGTTGATCTCGCAAGTATCCATGGAAATATAACTAGATGGTTGTAAATTTCAGGTGAATTCAGCCTTCACCGGGAAACGAAAAATGCTGCGAACATCCCTGCGGCATCTCTACAGTAGTTCCGAGGTTGAAAATGCTCTTTGTTCCATCGGCGTCGTTGAGACTGTAAGATGTTTTATCATTTTTCCTTTGTTCCTAGCTCGTTCGCTGGATTCTTCCAGGCAAGGCCTCATCAACTATCATTCAGTCAGTTTGTTAATCTTCACAACACTCTGGCAGCGCAGAGTGTGACTGAGATGGACAAGATGGGCAATGCCTAGTTGTTTGTGGAGGTACAGATCTTTTCTTTTTAATCATTTTCGGGGGGGATGCATTTGAATTCTTCGTTGGATCTCCTAGTGCTTGAATCGTCGAGTCCAAATTCTTTAAGGCTGCTCACCGACTTATCCTTTGTTTTCTAATTTTCGCTGTTCCCTGAAGTGGCTGCTTCTATGGATGGCTGCGTTTGTTTAAGCATGTGTGCTTCTCTTGATTTGTCTTTGGATTTGTTAGCATGAAACCTACCGAGTTAAAGGCCCCTTTCTTGCTTCAGTTGCATTAACGTGCCTTCACAGTGCGGAGGTACATAGCTTTTGTTGTCAATGACAGCAGATCTGATTTTCTATGCCTTTCTTCTTGCAAGCTGTAAGTTCAGGGTATTGATTGGCTCATGCTGCTCGCAAGGGCTTTGCTTTCCGTGTACGGAACGGGTGCTGGAAATTATCTTTGGCAAAGCTGATGAATGCGTGTGTGGTAGTTCGCTCATGCCTGATGTTTGGTATCTCTTTGGTGCTGTGGGATGCTCCGAGAACCGAGCTTCCAGAATTGGATTACTCTTTTATCCGTGCTATATGGGAAGTCGATGACTGGTCTGGCTGTGCAGATGTCCAGACCTGGGAGCTGAGGAAAAGAAAAAGCAGGAGAGAAAAAAGTAGCGAGTGCCAGGATTGCAGCAAGGGGCAGCCAATGCCGTCAACTCCTGTTAGCTAGGCAGTTTCATTCGCTGCCTCAGGAGATATCCGGCCGTGGCTAGTGGAGAGAAAGCTTATCAGGAGGACTCATCAACAAAACAGATGCGGAAGAAAATCAAAGCGCCTGTGGTTGTCTCTGTCAACGAAGAACACCTCGCGAGTCGTCTCGTCTCGCGTCGCCTGCTATCTCCAGTAAGCATGGAAGTCTATGGAGATTTGATTTGGCTCACAAGTACTAATGGATGTGGACGTGTTAGAGTTAGCAGGAACATTGGTACTTAAAACGATGACGCGAAATGTTATTAAGCAAATCCAAGGTGTGCCTAGTGCAATGCATCTTGCATGCCTAGCCATTGTTGTTTTTTGGACGACCAAACGGCGTCGGTCTTTGTCAGAAGATCATAACCAAGGTACTGCTTTTCATTTTATTTATATTTGTTAGATGATGTTTGGAAAACTGAAGGTGTGGAATGCCAAGGATTGTGAACGGGTTTAGAGAGGAAGAAACTTGGAATGTCGCGATCATTGACGACTAGCACACTTAATTTACTTTTGCGCTTGATCTCCAAATCCTTGAAGGCGGCATATAAAACAAGATCAGCTGGATGATTTATCTTGTTTGCCACTTGCAGCACTGCAGCATGGCCAGTAACAGCAGTACCAAATCGTCTTAACAGATGGAAAGCTCGCTGTTTAAGACATACAAGCAAAGCGTTAATACAGGTTTTGCAACAAACAGCTTGAGGATTCCAGGAAGAAAGAAAGAAAGAATCAGAATCAAGAGTAGCGATCCCAAGTAGATGGATCCCAGATGGTGCCGTCCTCAGCATTTTCTTCGTTGTCGTCGCGATCATCTTGCGGTGGTGGTGGCAGTGGAACGGCCAGTGCTTCAGCCATACTGGATAGAATGGTGGGCATGTTGAAGATGAAATCCTCGTCAACGTACTCAAATGTCTGTGGAGAAGCCCCCGCAGCAGCTGCAGTAGCATCAGAAGCCGCAGTTTGGATTTGAGATGAGTGACGGTGATGATCAGAGGAGAGTTTACTGCGAGAACCTGGAGAAGAAGAAACTTCCAACTTGACGACTTTAGCCGGCTGCTGGGAGTTTTGCTGCTCTTCGTGCCGCTCAGTTTGGTCCGGTTGCTCCTCCTGTTCCTGCTGCTGCTGCTGTGGAGCAGTGTATGGAAGAAGTCTATCCTGGAAAGACATTGCTGCTGATGTAGCTGCTTCCTGGATACATTTCGGCGACAAACGCTCAGGACGAGGCAAAGTGTGGACTGAATCCGGAAAATTCAAGTGAGCGTCCTCTCCTCGAAGGCAGAGAGCAGCAACATCGTGAGCCCGAGCAGCCATCTCCGGTGTCGGAAAGGAACCGAGCCATATCCGGTTCTTCTTCTTCGGCTCCCGGATCTCGGACACCCACTTCCCCCAGCTGCGTCGGCGTACACCGATGTAAACTGGATGCCTGTCCGAGGGCTTGGACCTGGACGAAGAGCCTCCGCGTCCTCGAGCTCGTCCACCTTTGTGAAACGACGAAGAAATATCCTGATCGCCCGCTCCGGTGGAGGAGTCATCGCCATCGCCACTTCCAGCGCTGGGTGTGCCGGCGGAGCATTCCTTGTCCGCCAGCTGAAGCCTGGATCAACGACCCCTCTTCTCCGTTATCCAATCCAGCAAGCCATCAGCAACAGGTACCTTGATGCGTTTGTGAGCGGCACTAGTAACACTCTTGGCAGCCGCAGGACCAGCACAGCTTCTTCCGTGGAGCTCTCTCTGCATTACAGAACGCTCTTTTCGACTGGGACTATGGTGTTAGCAGTGGAGACTCGCTCAAAGGTAACCAGCAATCAAACACTCTAGATTTCATCAAGTAGAAAAGAGGAGAAGGTTTGGAGCGCACACATCTCTCTCGACAGTAGATTTGGAAGCAACGAGAGCTCTTCAAGGAGAAAAAGCGCTATCCCACCAGAAAGAAGGCAACAATGAGACGAACGAACGAAGCTACGAACCAACAAACCACCTTTAATGTGTGTTGCATGGGATGGGCCATTCTTTCTCGGCCGCAGGGACTCGTACGAATTACCAAAGCGCTGCAAGGGCGACCAGTTCAGCCGCGCGAAGAGAGAGACGAAGAAAAACAAAACTCGGGGCTCGCGAATCCCAGCCGTCGCTCCCCCGCATCCGACGGCCCCTAGACAAAGATACTGGCCACGTCGCGGATCCGCTGAGATCCCGCCACGCGTCGGGCGCACGCGGCCAATGGGTCGTGGGAAATTGTTGTAGCCCATGACCACATCACATTGGTGACGTCGACGTCCCAACAAAGTACTTGGCAAAAAAACTAACCAGTCCCTTTTTTTGGTGGCTAATTATCTTTTTGGGATACATTAAAAAATGGAGAAAAGAAATATTTTGGAAGGGGATTAAAATCGAGCCCACGACACGGCAGCAGGGCAGCGCAGCGGGCAGAATCTTTTTGGCTGCCCAGCAGGGCAGCAGGATTTTCACCTTTACGTATTTTATTCATTTACCACGTAACACCGACATTACCACGGTAACTTTTGGCGGTAAGAATTAGGAAGCCCTAAGACTCTTAATAAAGGTAAATACTTTTGTTAGGTAAAGTACTCTGCGATTTAGGGTTCTTGGTGCTACTCGAACAGGGGCGCTAGATCCGGGTCTGCTAAATCCACGTCCAGGAAGCCCTTGATTGCCAGGAACTCGGCGATTCGCGGCGGCGGCGGCTTGGCTTCCACCGAGTCGAGCATCCTCTGGAGCTCCGCGGCGCCGTATTTCGCTCGAATCCTGTTGAGCTCGATCTTCTTGGTGGGAATGTACTCGAATTGCGTGCCGAGAGGGAGATCGTACTTGCTCGCCGGTGGCGCCGGCTGCTCGTCAGGCTTCTTTGCCGCTGCATTGGATCGATTGTGAGAGCAGGAATTGGGTCGAGAAGGATTGACACTCACCGGGGGAAGAAAGCATGGCGATTGATTTTTAGGGTTTTTCGTTCCTGGGTATGCCCTACTTGGGTATTGTAGAAGAGAATGGAGGGCGCCACTGCCGTCGCCTTTCCTTTTCTTCGATGCGGAGGCATTGGGCTAAGCCCGCGAGCGACATTTCGTCCGCGCGCTTGTAGCTTGGAGAGTGTCGATGGCTCTGGCAGCAAGAAGAAAGAGCAGCTTCTCGCTGCTATCAAGGGAGAATGTGGTAAACTCTTGTGTGCTATGTCCCTCTTGGGCGCTGGTCTCGCTGCTTCTTTGGCTGGCGAACATCGAGGCCATGCTTGTTTTGCTCGGATTTCTGGAGAGCAGCAAACTTCTACCAGGATTTCTTTTGCTGCTGCTGAAAGTCGGGAGCTCGAGCACGAAAACAAGAATGTACTAGATGTTCGAGCTTCAGGTATCTCATAGTCCTAGATGTTTTCGATTATTACAACTCTCGCTTCTAAAACCAGTGGTCTTCAATGTCTAGGAAGATGGAGCTGAGAATATGAGTGAAGAGATGCAACGTGCTTACGAGCAGTGGAAGACGGTTCCATATTCTATAAGCTTTCCACTGAGGATAGTCGGCCTTCGAGGATCGGTTCCTCCTGTTTGGATCAAGGTATCGCTTTTGTGTCTTTCATTTGTGTATTTGAGAGAATCTTTTGGTGGCAGGATTTTATGGTGTCTCAAGGGAAACAAATGAAACTCGGTGCAGAGTTTCTTGGATCTCTCGACACAATTTACACCCAGCTTGTGTCTGCTAAAAACAGTGGACAACTTACGAGTAAGTCGACCATGGCGGCTGACGTTGTCACGCTCGGAGATTCGTGGCTTGGTGCCGCCATAAGAAACAAGCTGATCGCTTCTGTTGGGAAACCCCAGGAGCTCGAGTGGTTTCAGCATCTTGACCCGAAATGGCAGGTACTTTTTCTTTTTTTTTTTCAGAGTCTTTCACTACATTACGAAACTTTGATTTTTACAGGCCATCCTTAGACGCGATGCACAAGGGCGTCCAGACGAAACTGGACAAGTTTGGGGTGCGCCATATCGGTGTGGTTGCATGGTGATAGCTTATAGGAAAGACAAACTTGCAAAAGCTGGTCTACAAGATATCAAGGTACAAACAGTTGCGTAAAAAGTTTTCCTGTAAAACTTTCTGTTTTCCTCAGGACTGGGACGATCTTTGGAAGCCAGAGCTTGCCGGAAAAATTTCCATGATAGAATCCACACGAGAGGTCGTCGGTCTGGTGCTAAAGTCCCTCGGAGCGTCTTACAATGCAAGAAATCTCGATGCCGAAGTTCACGGTGGACAAGAAGCTGTCAAGGAGAGATTTTTGAGATTAAGAAAACAGGCAAGTGACCACCCCGCTTGATTGTGCTTTTCACTGTGCACTTCTCCGCAGGTGAGAGTGTTCGAAAACATCAACTATTTGAGAGCTTTAGGAGCGGGAGATGTCTGGATCGCGGTGGGATGGTCGAATGACGTTCTACCATTTGCTAAGCGGCAATCCAACGTTGGTGTTATAGCTCCTGCGTCCGGGACTAGTCTTTGGGCCGATGTATGGGTAAGTTTTGATATTCTTCCAGTGATGATTCATTCGTGACACTGTTCTCTCTACGTGCAGGCAATCCCTGCTGCGACCACAATCAAAAGTGATAAAGCCGGTGGACGCATAAGAGGACCCTCTCCACTGGTATCTCAATGGCTAGAGTTTTGCCTCCAGCCAGCGCGAAGTTTGGCCTTCCACCAGGAAGCGTTTTGTGGAGCTTCGCCATTGAGATTCGCAGACGTCGCTGACAACGGATCTTCAGAGCCTGCTGGTCCCCGGCTGGATACAAATCTTGTCTCTGGATTGCCACCGAAAGACATCCTTGGCAAGAGCGAGTTCCTGGAGCCGCTGGAAGAAGAAACTCTTGCAAAGTATCGGTGGTTACTCGAAGCCGAGTGATTCGCCTTTGCTGTAAGTGAGACAACGTTGCAGGATGGTTTTGTATCCCAGCCTCCACTGGATGGCGAGCTTGTGCCTCTCGACTCCGCATGAACCAGAGCTTGTACTCTTTTCCAGCTGTTCCAGAGCTCTCTCGTCTTGCTCTATCGTCGTTGGAAGTTTCTCCAGAAGCTTTTGGCACTTCTTTTGCAGCCAGAGGAAAACAAGCTGGTCGCTCTCTCTGGAAATTGGCAAGCCTTGAGACGCCATGTAGCCGTGTGACTTTCGTAGAGAAGCTGGAACGGCACGAAGTCTTAGTTGCTGTAGCAACGAAAACGAAGGCTTCCCGCTTGCCTCTATACAATAAGCTGCGAGGTTGTGTTGTCTTTCGCTTTTGTCTCCGGTACTTTTGAGCCCGAATTCCTCCGAGCTTGGCAGTGGAATGTAAATCACGTCACAAGGATTATCCGGTAGCAAAAATCCGTAGTGTTCGAGAAGCTCCAAGTTCGTGTACTGCCCGTAGCAAATGAGAGCCTGGAAACGCCAAATGAGACTCTTGACAAGAGTGCAAAGAGAAACAGACCTGCTGGCCATTTTTGTAGCTCCTCCGCGCATAGAAACAGTAGGAACTGATGGAAGTTTCATAGCCACCATCAGTGAGCCTGCTCGTAAACTTGTGCTCGTCGTCCTCATTTCTCGAAGACAGAGTTCTTTCTATCGGTGCGTCGTAGTTGAAGAGATCGCCGATGGGACATAGCACGCCTGCGTCATCCCATGGGACGTGTAGCGTTCTGGATGATATCTGAATCGCAAGAACAAACTAGATAAGAGATCATTTGTGAAAATCTGAAGGCAACTCACGGTAGCAGCGGCCCAAAGCCAGGCCTTGAAAGTAGTAAACTTACGTGGGAGGCGAAGACGTGAAAGCAATGAGGACGTCTCCCTCCACTGTCTCTGAGTGTCTTCGAAAGACGATTTTGCCATCGAGATCGCATCCTCCACCTATGACAATGTTAGTTAGAAACAAGATGACAAGTGAAAGAAAAAGACCTGCAGTTCTTCAGCTTCCATTGCGGAAAAATGAGGTAGATTGTGATGAACTTGAGGATTATGGCGAAGATATGAAAACCACCGAGAGGAGCGAGACTTGGCAACTTCGCTCAAGAGATACGCCGTCAAGATCTTTAAACAAGAAAACGAGATAATGCTGGAGAAAATACTGGAAAGAATCTTCTTCTACGCACAAATCTATCAAGTTCTAATAGAAAACAAAGAACTTTACCTGTACAGAAGACAAATGCGCGAAATCCACCAGCACTTTTCCAAACTCGGGATCTTCCCTCGCGCAATGGACACCAATCAAAGCAGCAAATGGAACTCTGAGAATCATCTCACCCTGCTCCACATTCCGAGCCACACCCAGACCTCTCCTACATACAATACAATTCGATCACGATAAATTTCCCATCTAAAAACTCACCCGCCTTGATCCGGGAACACGGCAATCTCCAGCGTATCCCCAAACTGCGAAGATCCTTGGGAGGAGTCGCTGATTCCAAACGAAGCCGCGCATTCCAGGAGCTCCCTGGCCTCCATAGCTTAGGGCAAACTAAGTAGCGATGAAAAGCAAATAAAAAAATGGAGGGAAAGAGAAAAAGAGAAAAGGTCCTACCGAGACTTGAACTCGGGCTACTGGATTCAGAGTCCAGTGTCCTAACCACTAGACCATAGGACCAGATACCGGTAGCAAAACCACTTTACCTTCCACATTGTTACCGCTACAGTGGTGATGCTAATCTTCGCTTTAAAACCATGGCGAGATCCAATCTTTGCTTGCAAACCAACAATGATTAAATCCCATGCTCGAACCACGACATCCATAAAAGAGCTCCATCTTTTGGCAAAGTTTGCGATATTAGAAGCATTGACAAGCATTGAAATGGCGGAGTTGAAGGTAAAGTTATACCGAGCGAGAACACACCAGACATGGTCTCTCTCTTGCTTTGCTCGTTTAGACGATGACGCTCAAGATCCTCACCAAGTCCAATCGCGGGCGATACAAGATAACAAACGAGCTGTGCAAAGTTCCAGGTGGGGATCGTCATCGAGAGATTGTAAGAGCTTGAATTTGATGATGTTTCTTTCCTTCCAGGAGTGAAGAACATCGTGGTGGATCTCGAGGAGCAAAAGATGACCGTCACGGGGCACTATGAGCAAGAAAACCTGCTCAAGAAAGTTGCAAAGTTTAAGAAGCTCGTCCAGGTCTGGCCCTCTGATCCTCCGCCACCGCCACCACAGCCGGACAATCCAATGCCTTCGGTACGCTAAAGATCACATCTCTGATCCTGCGATCGAGCTCAAATTCAGAGAAAGATATTCTCATTTTGCTTTTCAGATCATCGAGCTCAAGGTGGCTTTGCATTGTCCCGGATGCCAACGAAGAGTTCTAGCAGCGTTATGCGAATTGCGAGGTAAAAGAATGCTCCAATATGGATTTGTAAGCAAGAGGCTTGATCGTTTCTTCCACTCCAGGAGTTGAAAAGGTAGACACAGACATGGAGAAGCAGCGTGTTGTAGTAACAGGCCATGTCGATCCGGACTCGTTGCTTAGAAAGATCGCGAAAACGAAGAAACGAGCACAAATTGCCTCGGTGACGCATCCCCCGCCTCCGGAAGCCCAGAAGGAAGAGTGATCTTCGCTTAGAATCCATAAACCCTAAAACTAGCAGCTCAAATCCAAAAGAAATACCTTCGCGCGCGAAAATGCTTTCCATTTTCTTCTTAGCTAGGTTTTATAGAGATTAAGAAATTAGGGTTCTTATTCTTCCTCCTCGACGACGGATCCACCGACACGAGAATGTAAGAATCGAGAGATAGATTTCCTCCTCCTTGCCGCAGCTTACAATCGATCCATCGCGCTTGCGCAGGTCGCCGTGATCCCGGGCGCCTGCCGGCGGCCGATGATGTAGTGCGCCGATGGGCCTCTCGAGATGCTTGACGCTCCCGATCCTGGCATTCCTCGTCCTGCTGCTCTCGAATTATTACATCGTCGTGGTCTTGGCGCTCCAGCCTTGGATCGGCGTGCCAGCTTTGCTACATGCGCTGCTCTTCACGCTGCTCAACGTGATGATCCTCATCTCTCACGGGCTGGCTGTTCTTCGTGATCCCGGACAGGTGCCAGCGAATTACTCTCCCGATCTAGAGACCGATCAGAGCACTGTCTTGAAGGTTAGAGATTTTTTCACTCGGATTGAGAAGCTTTTCTTGAACTTTCTCTTTGTTCTTCTTCTTCCAGGGAAAGGAGAGAAGGTTTTGCGAGAAATGTGGCCTCTACAAACCGGCTCGAGCTCATCACTGCCGGATTTGCAAGCGTTGCATTCTGCGAATGGTACTTTTGAGCTCTTTTCTTCTCGACCTTTTCGACTTTGGCGTTAAGAATGCGCTGTTTCTCGACAGGATCATCACTGTTCTTGGCTGAATAACTGCGTTGGCCACCGAAACTACAAAGCGTTTCTCCTCCTCGTCTTCTACCTCTTCTTGGGGTGCTCATACTCTCTGGCCATCTTTGGAGGATCAACTCTAAACAATTCGTCAACGTATCAGTTCTGGAAGGTACACACACATTCGTGACGCGATGGAAGCAAAGTTCACTTGTCTCGTGCGTTTCTTCTCGCAGGTCATGTACGGCGTTTGCCTGGTGGTGGGAGTTTTGATCTTTGGATCAATGCAAGCTTGGTATGCATATCTCCTCGTCCAAAACAAGACTACGATCGAGGTTCGCTTCATTCTTACTCATGCATTCCAGCTTTTTGCAAGTTTTTCTCTCGTCATTTAGTTTCATCAAGGGAAGAGGGAAGGCTGGATCGCAGTGAAGGCTGGTCAAATCTACAGGCATCCGTATGATCTGGGGCTTCTTGCGAATCTAATCAATGTAAGCTTCATGTTTCGTGCCTGCGTTCTTTTCTCTTTTTTTTTTCGTCGTTCTATCTTTTATTCGTTCCCAGGTTTTGGGACCAAAGACAAAGTATTGGCTGTGTCCAATGTCTGTTGGGCACATCGGCTCTGGCTTGTGGTCGAGAACTCTCTCCGAGACCCATATCAACAACATTCTAGCTGATTCTAGCTGAGGAGAAAAAGAAGAAAAAAAAAAAACAGAGAAAACGCGAAAGTTTTGTTTAGGAGTGATCGAAACAATGTTTCTCGTGAAAAACTATGAAGAAAGTTTTGAGGAAGTCTACTATGTCTTACCCAGAAAAGAATCGTTTCCAGGATTGCCAAGGTAAAAAACCTCCTAAAAGGGGAAAAAAAGAAAGAAAAAGAAAAGAAGAAAGAATCAATCCAGCATCCTTGGAACTCAAGCACTGACCGCAAGAGTTGCATCTAAAGTAATACTGCTCTCGCCGGACAAGCCCAGAGCCTTTACAAACTTTACATCTCCTTTGAGCTGCCTGAAATTCCAGAAATCCACAATGAAATATTTGTCTAGAAATCACTCACAATCCTCTTGCTGAATTCGATCCCAGCCACAACAAATGGAGTCACCCCAGCTGCAGGACAATCCAAACTGAGCAGAAACAACGGGGCAAAGCAAAATGGTACCAATCGCCCCCACGCCAATTTGCCATGTAAGTTGGGGATCCTCTGCTACTGTAGCGGCAATTCTTTCCACTTCCACTGCCCGTGTTCGAGAGCGTATAGCAGGTTTTCCAGGATGTGTGAAGCCAGTAGGGGACGCAACAAACAAGGAAACCATAGTGATTAGGTTGAATGTTTGAGCATCAATATTTCTTATATTTGCTGATTTTTCAAGAAAAACTTTAAAGGTTCAAACCTTTGTTTGTACAGCCCTAAATCAAGGTGATGGGAGATAAAGTGGTTTCTCCATAGCCTCGATAAGGAGGAAAGGGCTTGGGCAGTTTGCTAGAAATAAGGAATCTCCTATTGGGTATCGCTCCCCAATGACTTGAATCATTGGGTTCCTCGGGTGCTGGAGAACACGATCCATATCTTCCGTCGAATTAGTTTCTCAATAGCATTGACTTTGACTTTCAGGCTCCATTGACTAAGTTGTGCCCTAGGACCTTCTTTTCGGGGAATGCCTTATCCCACTTGGCTAGACTTTGGAGGATTTGGTAAAGGAGAGGGTAGCGGGAAAATGTCATCTTCCCAGTCTGGCAAGAGCACTCTCCTCGCAGCAATAAGTTGTAGACTGAAGGAGTTAGGATATCTGGTGGTGCTCACAGCTCTCAACGAGGCAATGGTGGATGCTGCCAACAACAAACTCAAAGATGAGAGAGCTGCTGCAAACGACTTTTACGACGACGAGATGTGTGAGCAGATTACGAAGAACAGGGCACAGGTAGACTGGTGCAGCTTTGGTAACAGATCTTTTCCGAGCTCATGGAACACGGGTGGTGAGCAGCAGATTGTGTGGTCACATATTCTGAACAGCGTACAGTGGGATGTCAGTCTACAATCTTCTGGCCAGATTGAGAGAAGCCAAGCAAGAGTGTATTGCACGGAGTCCATTGGGAACTTACAAGCTGGCTAGCTTCTCCCTGTGCGGCTTGCCAAGGCTAAGCTCTTTGATAGGTAGTCATAAATTGAGGGAACCAGCCACACGAACCGTGACAGACCTTCACCGCTTTCCAGGCAGATTGAGAAGGAAGACTGGCAGGTGAACAAGGAGCAGGTTGGAAGAATGTTGGCAGAGTTTGCTCGGGATCGGAACTTCCTCTTCGAACTGGACGAAGATTCGGCAGGGAGTCAAAAGGAACGCCATGGGGAAGATATCGAGCAATATAGTAAAGCTCACGTCTGGCGAGCTGGTTCAGCGAATATCCATTAGGACTGTCAAGCAGTGGCTAAAGGCTGTGCACAGCAAACGTCTTCAGTCTCACATTGTCTTCAACAACACGGGTCCATGGTGGGCTCATTCCAAAGATTGGTAGTTATTCTGACGAGGTCAAGCACGTCAATATGGCTTGCATAGAAACCATGAATGGTTTAGCTCCTGTGGATACTTTGGATACTATTCTGGAAGCCATTGATGATGGAATCAGGGCTGAAATCAGTTCGTTTCATCTCGAGCAGCTGGTTGAAAGCTAGTTCACTTCTATTGAAAACCTTCCGCCTCCAACAGATTCGCTGCTCACCGTCTTTGTGTATGCCATCACTTTTATGGATCCCCATCCGTTCTTAAGCCCCAAGTCGCTCAATTCAAACGGGCAGCCTTCAGATTACAGTATCCAGTTACAGTTCTTCAGGGGGCTTTTGATTAAGACTGAATATAGTCCATCTACATAAGTATTGGTCTTTACCCTAATTAATCTTCTTGTCCTTACCACAATGATTGATTAAAAAATGTATTATTTACTTATCATTTTGAAATATATAGGTGAAGCAACAGTTTTTCCTTGTTGGATACATGGCAACAAATATGTGATTGCACATGAAAGCATTATATATTTACACATGTGCTATTATCATGGGGTATGCCATGTATGCATGGGGTATAATATTTCAAATTGCTACATAAGCATTATACCACATCATCTTAGACAACATAAGATTAGTGCAATGTTAATGAACCTTTTTTTCTCATTCTCATATATTGTGATCATCTTTCTCTTTTTATTTTTCACTATTGTAACTCATTTATCTCAGTTATGGCTCATTTATCACAGTGTAGTGCCCCCTAATATAAGCACCATTCTTCAATTAATTAATTGCACTTCCCATTTCTCACAGTTTATTTGCAGTGTGGCACCTCAATCTAACACAGTGGTGAGTATAATAGATTGGAGCACAGCAGCAAATGCAATTGGAGTGTGGTAGTGAGGGTGATTGAATAGAGCATGGTGGTGAGTTTGATCAATTAGAGTGTGAAGACAAAACATTTTTTTAGGTGTTTGAACCATTAAGTGTGGTGGTTTTTGGCATTGCATACAGAAATTTCTTCATTCATTGCAAACCTAATTGGTCTCAAAGTGCTTTTTATTACCTTCACTAAGGAGTGCCCCAATAATGAACTCAGTCCATAAGGTGTTTAAAATCTAGCTTATGCACTAAAAAACAAGCCTTAACCCAAACTTTAAACCTTGCTAAAAAAAATTTGATGTGGAGATATAACATAAAAAATTGTATACCCAATATGGTGTTAATATGGACTTTGCTATGTATATGTGGTTGGCATTAAATGTATAAGAAAAAATTTGTGGTTAAAACATTATTTTGTGAGTCACACATATATGTTTTAATAATTTAAGTACATTGTGTTTTTTTTTCATGTGCAAAATTTTTTACTAGGCCACCCACCCCAAGTACACCTCTCTCTCTTGGGAGGTGTACCTCCCCCCAAAATTCAGATTATAAATTGCTTGTAATAGATACAAGTTGATAATTTTTAGTTTTTAGATGGTTTTTTAGCAAGGTGGTAATGGATATACCTAAAATATACTTGAATATTCTAGGATATTCTACCATCTAACAGTTGTTATTCATTTAGATTAATCTTGTATCTATAATTTATAAACATGTTTATAATTTACAAACTTTCTTAAACCCTTTTTAGTATTTTTTTTTATTCTATAATCTAACAGTTGATATGTAATAAGATTAATCTTGTGTTTATAAATTACAAACATGCTTCTTTATTTTATCAACTGGATTAATTAGTAATAATAAAAAGTAGACAAATTATTGATTACATTAGAATTAGAGAAAATTTATGGAAGTTTAGATTGGATATCAATAATAAACCAAAACAAGTAAATTAAACAAGAATTAGAGAAAGTTTACAGAGAAAGTCTTCCTTTAGATTGGAATATATTTAATTATTTTGATTCACAAACTATTGCTAAAACTGATTAAGCTCAAGCTAACATGGCATGTCCAAGCTTTTTCCCAAAATACTTTATCTACGGGCCTCACCGCCAATCTGGGACGCGTGTTGCCATTTTGGCCGCTGGTCGTCGGCACGCCAAATGACCTCACCCCGCCATCACCTCAGTGACGCCAGCAAAAAAAGATCCGGCCCGCATAATTCCCCGCACATTTTCCACACCGTGCGAGCGGTGATTGTGCGTACGGCGGGCCATGCGCATGCATTTGACTGACACATGTTTTTACTGTTACCTTGTAGAAAAAGGCCAGGCGAGTGTGGCATATTCACGTACATTCGCCCTTTACTTTTAGCCGAACAGCTGTATGTGCTGACTCATCGGATGGAGCCAATGCGAATGACCCAGCGGGGGGAAAACGATGGCCACCAAAAAAAATAAGCGAGGTAACTCTGGATAAAAATTTTAATCCAGGGAGCTGGAGTGTTTAAATTGCGAGCTAGGCTCACTAGGAAGCATTTTGGAAGCCCGCGAAATTTCCATCCAAAGAAAGAGGAGTGGTAAGTGTAGCGAGCGAGGAAGAAAGAGTGAGAAAAGAGAGAGGATTCTCCCTTCTTTGCGAAGGGATCGAGCGAATTGGATGGAGCACAATTCGAAGAAGGCTGTGAATTCACTGCAGCTCCCGCCGGGCTTTCGATTCCACCCCACGGACGAGGAGCTGGTCGTGCATTACCTCGCTCGCCGGGCGGCGTCGCGGCCATTCGCAGTGCCAATCATCGCGGAGGTGGATCTCTACAAGTTTGATCCGTGGGATCTCCCGGACAAGGCCTTGTTTGGCGAGCGCGAGTGGTACTTCTTCAGCCCTCGCGATCGAAAGTACCCGAATGGAGCTCGGCCCAACCGCGCAGCCGGGTCGGGCTACTGGAAGGCCACTGGCACCGACAAGCCCATCTCCAGCGATGGATGCAAAGTGGGCGTGAAGAAGGCGCTGGTGTTCTACAGGGGACGAGCGCCCAAGGGATCGAAGACGAGCTGGATCATGCACGAGTATCGATTGGCCGACGCCAGCGGCGCCAGCAATCGATTGAGCTTGCGCAAGAAGGGATCTCTCCGGGTAAGTGATAGAGCCTTGTGTTTTCTTGAGCGTTCTATGTTATATTATATGGATCTGTGTTCTTGGATCAATCTCTCGCGAGGGAGAGGTTTTTTCGGCAATCGCGGGATGGGTTTTGATGGGTTTTTCTTCCTCTTTCTTTTGGTCAGCTGGACGACTGGGTTCTCTGCCGGATCTACAAGAAGCAATCGAGCGATTGGAAGAGCCCCGCGGCCTCACAAGAAGCGCCAAGCCGCGAGAACGTGAAAATGGACGCGGACGATGAGTCGTGCCTGGAGGAGGTCCTGGCGTCCCTGCCCGACATTGACGATTCCAAGATTTGCTTGCCGAGGCTGGGCTCTTTCACCGCCATGCTCTCGAACGAGCAACAAGGCGATCAGGCTCAAGCCAATGGATCCCTTGGAGCGAGAGGAATTGGATCCGCCACGAGCTTCACTGCAAACAGTGGAGCGCCTTTGATCGATCAGCTCAAATTCCACAACGCTTCCTCAGCTCTAAACTCCAGTGATCCTGTAGTGGATAATTGTCTCCTGGATACTCGGTACAATGATCTTCCCACTCTCAGCCTCTATAACAACAGCTCTAGAACAAGTGATCACCACCACCACCAACAACACATCCTGGATCAAAAGCCCACAATCTCTCCGGAGCAAATGTTCTATCTCAAGAATTTCCCCAACTCGAGGCCGCATTCGCAGGGGATTTTCCAAACCCCCAGCTCGATCGAGGATGGAGTCCAAGGTTCCTGCAAGAACCAAGTAATTTACTCGGACAGGATCAACATGGTAAATTTCCCAGGTTATTTCTTCCAACACAAGAGCTGAAAAATTAAAAAAGGTGGTGGCGTAAATTAAAAAAGGTTTGCTATACATTTTTTATTCGGTTTTTTTTTTGTAAAACTTCCTTTTTTGTGGAGATCATTATAAGCAAAACGTGTAATTCGAAGATCATAGCCATGTTTCACTCGCGAGAAGATGCCAGACAAGAGATATGCCTGTGCGTTTTCAAATGGTCGGGAGATCATCCAACGCTCTTTCTAGAATCCTTTTTCTTTTGTTTTTGCTTGTCTCCGGATACGGCAGCTTCCACCTCCACATCGGAAATCTCATCGGAAATCTGATCCTCCACGGGAAACGCAGATCTGCTTTACACTATCCAGTTGGATCCCGCATCGAGCTAAGAAAATAGTTGAAATCGATCGACCACCAGCGAGAATGCTGCTGTTTGTCTGTTGCCACTGTACACTTGGTTTGCGAATCCGCAGAAAGAATTTTAGAAGAGAAAAATGAAACCAGCTTACTCGGGCTCTGTCAAACTCTCTCGTAGAAAAGGAGGTAGGCCTCGCTTCTCAAAACTTGATCCAGCGTTGTTCTTCGCACGTCCGAGTCGCTGATATAGTACCAAAAATTCTCCTTGCCATCCCCGGCGCTTCCTCCACGGACAAACGCGACGTAATGCCCGCCTTTCATGGTGCCCGAGTGCTCCACGACTCCGACCAGGCGATATAAGCCGCCATCCCTGCAAAACAAGCGGACAAAAGGCATCATTAGTTACACACGACATTCCAGCAAAAGAACCAGAAAGCCATGGAATAGGAAAACGAAAAGGGAGGAAGAAAAAACAAAGGCGCTTACCTGGAGGTGCTGAGAAACGGGCTCAAGTTGAGAAGCTCGTCGAATGCTACGTGACCCGTGAGCTTGCTCAGTCGTCCACGCATGTCTTGGGCGAATCGCTTCAGGTGAACCGTCAACACCGGAGGCGCCTTTCGTATAACTAGCCGCTTTGTCGCCTTTCTCTTTACCAAAACTTTGGTGCTGCTGCTGCTGCTGCTGCTGCTTCCTCCCTTGTGTGCCTGTTTCGTTTTTGGCTTGCCACAAGACGTATCATTCCCGTCTTCGTCCTCGCCTTTCTCCTCCATGCTGCATGGACCTGCTTGAGATGACGTCGGTTCCGTCCCTCGAGCTTCAGCGTCACAAGTAGGACCGTCCTCATCCCCATCAACAGTCGTTGAATCCGCCGAGTCAGAGGACCTCCGTGTGCAGTTGTCGCAGCCCCACGCATTCTCACCGGAGAGAACTTCCAGCTTGGTAAAAGCCTGGAGGCATCCCTCCAGAGACTTTGCCGTGATGCTCTTCTCGATGATGTCTTCAATCTCTTCCGTTTCCTCCACACTTGCGGCGTTCGTACTGCTTGTCCCAGGGCGCTCCGCGCAGCCTAACACAGTGACCGAAGTGCTAGCCTCCTCCTCGAAAAAAAGTTCTGCTATACCATCAACCTCGCTAGGCGCAAGCATCTCCCAGCCGTCCTGTACGTTCGATGGTGCTTGATTGTCACCTTCCCAGTATGGCAGTAAAATCACTGCAGGAGGGCCCGCAGAAGGCAGCCCCTCCGAATTATCTACGCTATCTTCCACACCTGTTATAGTCACATCGGCCACTTTCGAAAGGTCGTCTTCCTCTTTCCCCACTTTCGAAAGGTCTTCTTCCTCTTTCCCGGGTAGAGCTGCTATAGTTGTAACACCTTCACCTACAATGTTATCGGCATTATCTGCTTCCTTTTCTTCACCTCCCAGAGGACCTGATGTAGTTGCATCGACTTCTGCCACTGCCTTCCCTTCATCACGGAGTTCCGAGCCACCTTCTTCGGCCACCGTAACCTCTAGCCGATTCTCATCGTGGTCGGAAAACTGCTGTTGAGAAGTGACATCTACAAAGTCGTCCCCTACGTAGTCCAGCCACGAAAGGTCATCCATCACACTTCCTGTTTCTGCTTGTTTCTCTACGGCCGTCTCGCTGATCTTTTCACCGATGTTTTTCTCGCTCTTGATCTGGAAAGAAGCTTTCGGCTGCAATACTTTCCTTTTCCTTTCAAGTGCCTTCTTCGCTTTGGCCTCCCTCTTCGAGCATGCGTTGTTTGTTTGCACCTTGCTTGCTACCTTGAAAGTGCTTGTTGTTCCCTTGGAGCTGTGTGACAAAGGGATTGGCAAAGAAACGTCAAGAAAAGGTTCCAAAACTGACGAAGAATGGCCGCACTCACAGCAGGTAACCGTGCTCGCAAACTGTCCGCCGAAGAGATGGTCGACGAACGTATGATCTTCTTTTCCGTTGGCTGAGTTCTTCTCCTCCGACTCTTTATGTTTCCCCTCGACCTGAAGACCGTCGAGAAGGCATCGCAGCAACTCGTGGCTATCCTGTTGGTGATAGCCAGAAAACCGAGAAGACTTCGAACACAGCGCTCCAAACAAACCCTTCGGATTATACGTAGTATAGTCGCGATGCCGCTTCTTGGCATTCCCCGAGAACGCTTCCAGATTGTCACCATTGATCTCGAGGAAGAACCTCCTCAGCGCAGACGTGAGAGGTCCCTCGGAAGCACCAGCAGCGACAGGATTGAGAAAGTAGTCCTTCAAGTACCTGACCGCGAGCAAGTTTTGCATGACCGAGTTGAAGAAGCACGTATTCCCCAAGTTGACGAGACCCCGGACGATCCCATTCTTCGGTGACGAGCACTCCACTGAAGTAGAAGTAGCGGAACGAGCAGCACTCACGCTCTCGTTCTCCTCCTTTCCTTTCCCAGCACCATCACTTTCACTCATCCAGCTCTCCTGGATCAGCCTCACTGCCTGCTGCAGAAGCTTTCCCCTGGCTCCGAGACCAGGAAAACCACCTATGATCGAAGCCTGCGTCGCGATACTTCCCTGACAATCCAAGCACCATATAGAACTCACATCCCCGCATTGAAGAACGAAAGGATGCCTGTTCCTCCTAAAGTGCTCGATAGCATGACCATGTCCGAGAGGGAGCTGGACTGCCGACGAAGTCTCCTCCACAGACTTAGCACACCCGACGTGAGCACAGGCCAGGCAAAACCACAGCGAGGAGGAGTCCTCGTTCTCTTGCTGGTTCTTCTTTCGATTCACCGGCTTCTTCTTCCCATCCTTTGGCTGCTTCTTAGAGCAATCCAGGCAGTTCTGCGAGGCGGCCTCTCGCAGCTTCTCCCCGAGCTTCTCGACATCCACCCCGCGGGTGAAATGCCGGCACTTGACCGCCTGTTCTAGCTCCAATCCATCGCCATTCCTATGCTCGACAGGAGCTGATTCCACTGCTGGAGATGGAGATTCATCGCTACACTCACCAGAGGGCTGCTGATCCGGCCGCGGTGGACGAAATCGCTGCTGCGGCCTCCTCTTCGCTTTTTTGGGCATAATCCCTAGGGCCAAGACCCTAAAAAAAAAGAGAGTAAAATATGAGCTCCTCTATTATGCTGCTAGCGGTGTTCTTCGTCTTCGCATTCGTGGCGCCGCGAGCGATCGATGCCGCCGATCTCGTCATGCGAGTGGATGCTGGAAGCGCTGGCCGGAGGGATTCCATCCACGCTGTTTGGAGTGTTCTTCGAGGTCTGAGCTGCATTTTTTCATCGATTTTGTCTGAAATTTCGATCGATCGCCCAGGAAATCAACCATGCAGGGGGAGGAGGTCTCTGGGCCGAGCTCGTCAGTAACAGAGGTGATTCTTTCTTTCAAATTCGTCTCCCGAGATGGATTTCTTTACCTTTTCTCGAAGAGCGATGCTTGGCTTTGTGATTCTTTTCTATCTTCTTGTCCATGGAATTTGATACGATTTTTCTCTATAGGATTTGAGTCTGGGGGCCAAAACACTCCATCCAACATAGCGCCATGGTACGCGATTGGTGACGAGTCCCAGGTGTGGCTGGAGTCGGAACGATCCTCTTGCTTTGAGCGAAACCCAGTTGCTTTGAGGATGGAAGTAGTTCGAGAGGTGGAAGGTGGGGTGGGAATCGCCAATCCAGGCTTTTGGGGAATGGTGATCGTCGCAGTTTCTTGCATGCAAAGCTTGGAGCTGATCATGTTTTGTTTCTAGGACATTCGAGCTGGGAACACATACAAAGTTTCTCTCTGGGTACGATCTCTCGATAAAGTCAATCTTTCCATTGCGTTTACGTCAAGAAATGGAACAACAACTTTGGCTCAAAGTGATCTCACGTAAGTCTCTTTTTTTATTTCCTAGCTCTTCCTCTCGTTCTAATGCACACTCTGGAAAGATTGGACGCTTCAGAGGCAGAGGAATGGAGCAAACATGAGATGGTTTTGGAAGCTTTTGACACCGATCACTACGCTCGACTTGCTCTGACAAGCATGCACAAAGGAGTGTTATGGCTCGACCAGGTTTCAGCGATGCCTGAAGAGACGTACAAGGTAACTCGTGCATCGGAACATACGTTTCCAATATCTTCTGCGCAGGGACATGGATTCCGAAAGGAGCTTGCGCTCATGCTTGAAGATTTAAAGCCAGGATTCGTTCGTTTTCCAGGTGACGAAATCTATCAGGCTTTTCAAGCTAATCACAACTCTTTCCAGGCGGATGTTATGTTGAAGGTGGAAGCCTGCGAAACGCGTGGAGATGGAGAGATACAGTCGGCCCCTGGGAGGAAAGGCCTGGTCATTTTGGTGATAAGTGGAATTATTGGTCGGATGACGGGCTCGGGTTTTTTGAGCTTCTCCAGGTACTCCCTTTTTTTCAAGCTTCGCGACGTAGTTACTCAAGTGATGAAGCTTTTAGCTTTCAGAGGACCTGGAGGCCTTGCCTGTCTGGGTTTTCAATAACGGTACGTTTTTGGAAGCTTGGAGCAGTATTTTGAGCTGTTGCATGTTTTGTTCTTGCAGGGATCAGTCACTCGGACGAGGTTTTACCGGAGCTTCTTGATCCTTTCATTCAGGTTTGGATCACTTAAGAAAACCTGGTGGTCTCGTGAAATACGTAAAATACTTTTACACTATCAGGACATTCTTGACGGTATTGAGTTTGCAAGGGGACCTATGACTAGTAAATGGGGTCGAGTTCGCGAGGCTATGGGACATCCCGAACCTTTCCCTCTTTTCTACATGGCTATTGGTAATGAGGACTGCGAGAGGCAGTACTACCACGGTGAGCTCCTTATTTGGATACTCCATTGTTTAACTTATTCAGACTTTGGCCGCAGCGAACTATCTAAAGTTCTACTATGCGATAAAGGAAGCATATCCAGATATCCATCTGATATCTAACTGCGATGGAACACTAAAACCTCTTGGTCACCCGGCTGATCTGTTCGATTTCCATGTACGTAAAGCCTGTTTTTATCTCGAATTTTGTTTTACGCTTTCTCTTTCAGATCTATACGTCTGCAAACACTTTGTTCTCGATGGTTCATAAATTCAATCACGTTTCCAGGGATGGTCCGAAGGTATCAGATGTGATTACAAGCACCGGTATATTTATTGCAATGTGTATTCTACAGGTTTTTGTGAGCGAGTATGCAGTTGTCAAGAGCGACGCAGGACAGGGAAGCTTTCTTGCTGCTCTTGCGGAAGCAGCATTCCTGATTGGTATAGAGCTCAACAGGTTTGATCAAGCATTCTTCTCTTTGTCTTGTCCTGCTAATAAACGAAGCACCTTGGCAGTGACATAGTCGGAATGGCAAGCTATGCTCCATTGTTTGTCAACACAAACAACAGGCGGTATGGAAAATCTATTCTAAGTTCTCAAATTTTTACTGAAAAGCTTTGGTATCTTGTCTAGATGGAATCCCGATGCTATAGTTTTCGATTCATGGCAACAGTATGGAACACCAAGCTATTGGATGCAGCACTTCTTTAAGATGTCAAACGGGGCAAAACTTTTACCGTTCGTGGTCGAGAGTTTAAACACAAGCGCAGTACCCGTAGTTTTATCTGCTGTACGCATAGAAGATGGAACCAGCCTCGTGTTAAAGGTAAAGAATTCTCTTCGCATAGCATGCTAACGAGTGATTACGTCGAGCAGGCTGTGAACTATGGACAGTTTCCAGTAGAGATTCGAGTGTCTCTGGAGGGAGTTTTGTCCAACGAGATCGATATTTTTGCTTCGACCATCACAGTTCTTTCTAGCGAAAGCCTCATGGACGAAAACTCGTTCCAGAATCCTCACAAGGTAAGCCAAGTCCATTCTATTCACGATCGAGCAATAGAGAATTTTTTACAGGTGGTGCCTATAACGAGCTTGTTCCTTAGCGCGGCAACCGACATGGAACTCTCACTGCCGCCTTACTCCATCGTTGCGCTTGGTCTTCCACTGTTATCTTCCTCGAGAGCTGATATATAGTGTACGTAAAGCTCTTGTTAAAAAAACGCAAAGGTTTTAGGCTGACGGTCTTTGGAGCTGAGCTTCTTTCAATCTTTCTCTCAGAGTAGAGATTCTTCCGGATGATGGCTGGCCCAGGGCGATCAATGCACGCCTCACTGCCGCTGCCTCCATAGCATCAATCTCATCGGCTGTGAGTGGCGCTGAAAGAGATTTCGGCAGTGGAGGTGGTGCTGGCTCTGAGCCACCAAGCATCCTTGGAGGTGCTTTCCATGGCATTGCCTTTCGTGCCTGGACACATCAACGTTAACATGAGAAGAACGATTTCGAGCAGCGATACCTGTGAAACGAGGCTTTCAAGCTCTTTATACGTCGGCTGGTTTGGAAACTTTCCAAGGAGCTCGCTGTTTCCATCCCAGGACATCAAGTATACCTGTTTCCACCCACCAAAAAACCATGAGGACGATTTTTTTTTTCGTAGGCCTAAAGCTCAAACTTACGTGCCAGTCGTAGGAATAACATTTTAGAAGCCGGACCACTCCTCCAGTGGAAGAGGATGTAACGTTTGAGGCTTCTCCGATTCGTTGCTCAATGAGGCTGTAGACTCTCTCGAAATTTTCCAAGAATTCCTCAGCTTTCCTGTAAATATGATTATCAAAAGTCGATGAAAAACATCTCAAAAACCAACCTTTTCCATGGTCCAAATCCAAAGTCCGAAACAACTTGGCCCGATGCTTTCCACTGTGGATTTACCAGAAGAAGTGGCCTTGTTGGATCGCTCTTGACCAAAGATCTAATCTGCCATGAGAAAGCTTTATAATCGAAAACCAAGGATTCGAGAAAGAGGAACTTACCTGGTTGAGTGTCTCAGCTATAGGAAAAACAACGGCTGCAATGGTCTTCGACGAAGGATAGATTAATCCGACTGGATCCATCTCGTTCTCAACTTCGCCAATTCTTCGTGAATCCACTGCTTGGCCTTCTTGCATTCCACAAAAAATTGCGGTGACCATTTTGCTGCAAGCCTGGAATTCCTCTCCAACACCACAAGGATAGTCCCTGCTCGAGCAAAAAATCTATAGGTAGCTCTGGAATTATAGAACATAGAAAGTACCTCGGCTCCGTGTCGAGAAAATTAAATTCTCGCTGGTTCACCGGGAGTAGAAGCTCTAGCTGCTGCGTTTTCTTGCCATCGTCCACGGCTCTTTGGATTGCTTCTCTAGCCTGAACCGCGGCGGTAAGTCGCAGAGCGAACATCGAGAGAATACCTGATCGATCGAATCCTCGAGGGTTTGGGGATTGGCGCAAGGCCCATCGATGACGAGCGCCCCTACAATGCAGGACTTCTTGGATGCTCGAGCTGCTGCATGGCGCCTTTCTCGAAATATTTGACATGATCGTCGTCGCGAGCAAAGTGGCGGAATGGGAAGGAACGCACTAATGACCGCCATAGCTCATCCATAGGAAATGGACGATCTGGATGCTTTCAATGGCAACGAACGGCGGGGATGACTATTAGAAGTTAAAGGTCAGTGGCGGGTTTTTTAAAATCTAGGGCTAGACATTTCCTTAATCTCGTGGACTTTCCATCCGGAATGACCACCAGATGAGGTATATAAGAAATGGAGGGACGTTAAAACCCTAGAACAGAGTGATGTTAGGCCTTAGGCGCCCGAGCGATCGGGCCAAATGCGGGAGTAATTCGCTCATCCAGCAGCTGTCGAGGTCAGGATCCATCTCGAGTGAATGCGCAGCGCTGGCGGGCTCCGATTCGCGCAGAATGAAGAAGGTTCTCTTCTCCGGCTTGCCTGAGTTCGTCGATTCGGGTAAGCGCTCGCGCTCGCGATCGAAATCCCTCTCTTCTACGCAGATATTTCCATCGATCGCCTCGTAATCTCGCGCATTTGTCTGCAGAGGCCCTGTTTTGCTTCCTCGAGGAGAATTTCGGCCCGGTCTTGGACGCGGTCGTGCTTCCATTCCATTCGGCCGACGGCCAGCGAGGGAGGTTTGGCATCGTGACATTCAGGAACAAGAACTCTTTCCTTGAAGCGACCCGGACGAAGAGCGGGTACATCTATGGAAAGAGGGTACGCTGCTGAAAATTCTCCCAAGCTTCATTCTTTTCCATGCCTGGCAGACTATGATCGACGTGCTGGACGCTCGTGTTGCCAAAGACTTACTCCCCCAAGCCGATGACATCTCGAAGAAGGAAGACGCTCCTCCGGCAAGCCTGGTGAATTCTCCATCGCTTCCTCCCTGGGCTCAGAGGTTCCGAGACTGGCTGCCTGGTTTTCTGACCGAGGTTTCCAAGCGCCTCGAGGAAGGGGAAGCTTATCCACTCTGCTCGCTCAAAGGAGACTTCCGGGCAACCTGTGGGCTGGAGATCGACCACGCAGCACTTGGTTTCGAGAAACTGAGCGACTTCATTCGTGCGTGGCCGGAAATCTGCGAGCCGAAAGTCGAGCCAGTGGGTTTGGGACCAGCGACACACGTAGTCCTCAAGAGTGTCCCGCCGGCCACCACAGAGGCTACGAAGCTCGAGCAGGCGAACAAGTTGCCAGAGCCACGGCCGTCTCCAGCTCTGCAGCCAAGCGACACCTTCCAGGACTCCTTGTTCAGCCGCAACATATTCCTGGACAACGTCGAGAACATCCCGCCATCTCTGAACCAATGCAGTGGGGTGACGTGCAAGCTCTGCAAGGATTGCGCAGCTTCGGCTCGATGGTTTGCCATTCCTTGCGGGCATCTGGTTCTGTGCGACTTGTGCAAGGAGAGCGTCGACAAGTGCGCTCAGACCTGGAGCATCCCGTGCCTCGTGTGCTGTGACGCCGTCGAGACGTGGATCGCGTGACAACAGCTTCGTAATCAGCAAAAGGTATGGCTTTTGTGGATCACTTTGGTACTTCCCAAGAACAGTCTAGCTCTAAGCTCCATTCTTGAAAGTTTCCCGTTCTAACTCGTGTTGCTTGCAGGAAGACTTTACTACTATTTGCGATTGCGTTACGAAAAATAAAAAGCAAGCCAATGCTGGACTTCGAGCTAGGTTCTCCCTCATGGAGTAATATCCTCGCGCGACCTTCTCATGTAAGTCTTGATCAAGCTGTGACACCGTCTCAAATTTCTCTTGGCACGCAAGTTTTGCAGGTGTGCCCAAAGCTATAAAGCTCGATGGTGTTGATACGCTGCCTTCATTGCCATTAACGACAACTCCGATTCCATGGAGGCCGCAAAGTGGCGAGGTTCTAGAGCAGCATCGCGAACTTCTCTTCACTAGCGTAGAAGTTGGGCTTTTGGAAGCTTTGGTCATCCACCAATGGCCACACAGCGGCATATAACTCTAAACCGCCAGGGAAAGCCAAGCTCCTCGATCTACATCGCGATTGTCGGGGTGGAGGATCAAAGGTGGCCATCTCAAATCTTCTCTGTAAAAACATTCCTTGTGAATAGATCACGTATGTTTGCTTGAAGACTCGTCAGTTCTTGTTGAGGTCTTCATTGATTTTCTTCTTCATCTTCTCCTTCATCGTCTCGTTTTCCTTCTTCTTCTTCTTCTTCTTCCTCTTCTTCGTCTTCCTCCTCTTCTTCTTGTTCTTCTACTTCTTCTGGTCCTTCTTCTTCTTCGGATTCTTCTTCTCCAGTGTCTTGCTCGGCGGAATCACTTGAGTCGCTTAGAAGCTCCGGTTGATCTTGGACGCGGCCGCCCACTGCTTGCTGTGCTGCTAAAATGGCTTCCGGCGTGTAAAGTTCCGTGACTCCGAGTGCCAGGTCCTGGATATTCCAAATCCGGTCAGTGGAAGCTCCCAAAGTTCACGTACCATTCGAATGTGAGGAGCTTCTTCTCCATTTGTCAAGTGCTCTATGTCTAGTTTCGCTGAGCCTTTCTCCTGGATTTGTGCAAAGAGCAAAAGGTAAATCCCAAAGAAGAAATCACACGAACAAAAACCTGATCATCCGAAGAAAGCTTGCGATTTGCCGTGTCTATCAAAGGTAAAAATTCTTTGACCCTGCTCAAGACTGACAGACGATCAGAAGATTGTTCCGTTGGATTTTCCCCTTCATTACATACACGCAATCTCTTTTCTAGTCAAAATCAAAAGAGCGCATTTGACCTTGAGGCGATCGATCCGTGAAAAAAATAAACGCTTACCCAGAGGAGTGATGCGCTCCAGACCCAGCAAATCCCCAGAACGCTGCAAAGAAAATGCGCGAAGGCAATGGCTCTAGAAGGAAAACGAATGCGGTCGCCATACCTTGCTTCCTCCCATGGCAAAACCCTAAACCCGGAAATTATCAAAATTTGGTTCGAATTTAAGCGCTAATGTCCGTACGAAATGGAACACGCACAACAAGGTATTCCTTCAATTAAATATTTGTAGCATGAACTTGAATATATTCTGATAGGGACCAGAGGAGCCAATCAAGCGTCATGGAGGATGGAGCAAACAAGAGCATATGGCCTTGATATGTAAGCAGCAGGAACACTTGCAGAGCCCAGAAGAAAGGAGGAACTTGTCTCATAAAGCTGTATGGGAGGAGATTATAGAGAACATCCAAGATAAAACTGGCAGCCAATGCTTCCGTCAATGGAGGATTCTTGTTTTAATGTACAGGAATCTAAGGTGTCACTTCAGTAAGCACCCTGAACAGTATTTCCCACTTTCTAGAAAACAATATTATGACTATGGGATCCTCAAACATATGAATAGAGATATTTTTGAGGTAGTGGATGCTTTCATTCGATACAAGATTAGGTGGAACTAAACCTAGCCAAAACTAAATCTTTCTTTTCAACCTTGATCGTGCATGCTTTATTCACGAGATTCACGTGCTTTAAAAAGCATAAAATTCTAAGATGAAAACGTGAGCGGCAGGATTCGAACCTGCGCGGGCAGAGCCCACATGATTTCTAGTCATGCCCGATAACCACTCCGGCACGCTCACAATTACGTGATGTCAAGAGAAAAAGATTAATATGTGCATAGACTTTGATTAATATCAAAGCCATAACGCATATTCCCCATAGAACCAATCACGCTTTTGGAACACGTTGAAAACCGCTTGGCTTTTGCATGCGTACTCGCCGTGAAGCTACGAGATTAGAGACTTAAGGAACAACCACTTTGTATCTTTTGCCGTGTCCAAGGCAACCCAATCTATTTGGTCCCCAGCTTTTCTGGAAAATTAAAATACTTCTACTATCAATCTGGTTGGCTGCTAAAAGAGGACCAAAGGATTCCCACGGACATGCGAAAGCTGCGTTTTAGATCTGTAATTACTTCGTAAGTTGCGTTACCGTGTCAAAGTTGATTCTAAAGCTCCTTGACTTACAGACTAATTAATGGCTAGAACCTTAGCGGCTTCCCCGACAATGAGATTGAGAAACTATTAGTGCTTGAAACATTTACCCTGTTATTTGAAGACAATTCCCTTCTCCCGAACTTTCAGTCCTTACAGCAAGAATCTTTGAAGTTTCACAAGTCTGAAGGATCTAGCAACACTTAACAGTAAGCCCACGCTACAGCGTTTTTCCGTAATCGAGCATTGTAACTTGAGCTAATGTGGAAAGAGATCTCCCCGTGAACTAAACTGATGTAATTCTATTTGTTATGAAAGTTCAATGCATTGTGCTACTTTCATCCCTTGAAACACTGCACGAAGATAAACTCAGATTAGAGCAATTTAGCTTGGGTTCTTACTTCCAGATTAAACCGGTTTCCTGGCGATTTCTTGTAGTCACTGTAAGAAGCGATTTCCTGATACGAGCTTGCCTTCGTCACCACGTTGTACCTACACACATTGTCACGTTAATAGGATTAAAATTGAGATAACGAAAGTTTCTTATGCTTGCCTCTTCCTTTTCTGAGGAGCCCTTTACGAACAACAGGGACGCGAGCAAAGAACAAAACACAATGGTCAGAAAGATAAAGTCCCCGGAAGTAGCAAGCAAAATATAAACACGAAGAAACTGTGGAAAGAAAAGAGGCAAATTTGCGAAAAGAAACTCTAATCCACCCGCGCACCTCCAGATCAAGTTGTTACCCCTTGGCCACAAAAATATGAGTCCTGCCAGTAGCGCTGCTCCACTGATAACCTGTAAGCTAGTAAACACGGACTGAATAAACTGGAACACAAACGAAAAGCTCTCAGGTGGCCGGTTTACCTGCTTAACCAATCCACCCACAGAAGTTTGATTCTTGCACTCGGGAATTCCCTCTGTCAATTCCACTGGAACTCCTTCAAGTTCAAACTGCGAAGAAGGCACGAAGACTTAAGCGAGAGAAAAGTAAACATATAATTACCTCTTTTTCTTGGTCTGGCTGTGCACCGTTTTTTCCTGCGAGCTCCCATTCTTCATCCTCGAAATTATCCGGTTCCACTGGCTCATCTCCACGGTTTAGTCCGGGCAATAGCTGCTCGGAAACGTTTTTCACTTCGTCGCCTGTTTCCGGGACCATGGAGGACTCTTCACTGTTAGCTTGCGAGCTTTGGCACTCGCTAATGACAGTTTCCGGCGCTTGAGACGGGAACGTCGCTGCCTGGCTTTCGAATCGACCGAGCTGATGGATTGGCCTCGGTGGCTTCTCCTCGCACAAACTCAGCCGCTTTATTCTTTGCTGCACTTCCTTAAAGTTTGGCACTCCTCCCTCGTCAATGGCAACAGCTGCGGCAGCTCCACGTCTCAGACCCTCGTGAACTCTTCTGTTTTTCACTTTCGTGAGCGGAGAATTCAAGCGGTCTAGCTCCTGTGCGTACAGCAATGTTACAAAGGTAAATGAAACCTGTTTGAACTGTTTTACCTGTCGGAATGAATTCTCAAGTGCTTCTATTCTTGCTCTGATCTTCCCAGAAATCGTTCGCCTTTTGCGTGTCCTTGGAACCGGTCCAATGCCACAAGCTTGCGAACTGGCAGCCGAGTAGTACTTGTGACCCCCGGAGTTATGTTGAGTTCTCTCCGAGAAGCTGACGCAAACATGCTCGCTAAACTGCATGCCTCGCTTCGTCGATGCGTCAGCTTGTCCAGTTTTCGGAGGCATGTCCACAGTTATCCATTCCACCAGCGAGCACGGTACCGAACACGTATCGTCGGATTGTTTCTGATGGCCAGGCACGTCCACGGAAATCCATCCTGTGTTTTCTGGCGATTTTGCGAGAGTGTCTTGATCGTAGACGATAGAAGCAGCTTGATCTTCTGGTTTAACCGGAGCTGGGATAGAAACCCAGTCACGCTCTTTGGTGTCAACGTTTCCCAGCAAAGAGGCACCCGGATCATCAATGATCGTCGAGGCATGCATTCGATCTTCCGAGGGAGCTTCATCCACTTCGATCATTCCAGACTCCTCGATGAGTTTGGTTGCCTCGCAAGAGTGGTCTCCTTTAAGAAGCTCAAGGATTTCGTCTGGTGAAGCATTAAGGCAGCCACTTTGATCCTTTTCTGGAGCATCAAGAGCCTTGCTTTCTTGTTTCGAGGCTTGCGGAAATGCGAATTCATGGTCGGTGTCCACAGCACTGTAAGACGAAGTGATTTCAGCCATAGCCAACACCGCCTCTGAAAAAAATAAACAACTATCACCATCATGTCAAGAGATGAAAAATACTTACACGACCCGGGTGTGTTCTTCGGAGCTTCCTAAAATTCGCTGAAGAAAAGAAAGAAAAGAAGAAATTTAGTCAGCAACTACTCAAACGAACTGAGATTTCTCGATGCTTTAGCGATTAGAATGCCGCTGCGTGAGAATGAGAAATACGGGACGACAATAACATCACTGATAGAAACCCTGGAGAGAAGAACTCGAATGCTGCATTGAGAGACAATCACAATCTAAACAATTTTTCTATGGCGCGCAGCAATCGCGGAGAGCGGTTACCGATGGAAGAAGGAAGAACCACCGCCCCGCCATAACGTTTTTAGGGCTCTTCGCAGCAAGGAAACAGTTAATACAAAAGTTTCCGAATCTCCACGTGGCAGACACTTTTTACCACGAATAATCTGTAGGATAATGGGAATAATGTTTTAATATAGTCTACCATCTAACAGTTAATATGCAATTAGATTAACATGTCTAGGATTTTTAGTAAATTCTGACAGTTTAGTTTTTATTTTTATATTTGAAATTGTTATTTTCTCTCCAACAATATTCAACAGTAACATAATCTTTCTGGAGATCTTCATTGGATGATGCCTCACAAAAACCTTAGTTAGTGACCTCTTAAGAATTCACTTGAGGAAGGAAAATTGCAAAATTATAAGTATATTATTACATTGTCTTCTTTATTTTTTAATTTCTTACTTACACATCATCTCATACTTCAATTTCTTGCAAGAATTACAGTGGAACACAATGGATTCTCTTTTGTTTATACACATACATTAACATCATCACTCTTTTAATTGATGAGTTTGGTTTACAAAGCTATACCAATGGATTTAATTGGTTTCTCTCTCTCTCTCTCTCTCTCTCTTACTAAATAATAATAATTGTTATACTATGTTATATTGTTTTAAAATTATTATGCGAGGCCCAAGTGTACACCTATAGTGCTGTATACTAATATTAATATAGTAGGATTTTGGTAGCTGTAAGGTTAATTTCGATTCAGACCACTCACTTTTGTATATAAACTAAAGTTTTTGAGCTAATTGATATGCACATTTTGTATTTCATTTTCATATTTTGTGCACTCACATTAATGGAGATGAGAAGCATTACAATTTATCCTTAAAGGGCAAAATTTTTTAACAATGTTTTACTTTAATATTTGGGATTGTGTTTTTTGTTTTTATTCCTTCATTCTCTTTTAGATTTAGATGTGTATTAGTTTTTTGCAAAATCTAGAACTTTAGCTATTATTGTGGTTAGATTTATTCTTTCTTATGATTTTCATTGCATTCTCTTCTTCTACTATGCCATCCTATCATCAATTAAAAAGTATGTCACTTAAGGCTATTAATACTATTCTGTTGGATTGAACTTTTTATACTGTGAAGTGTGATTATATTGGTGCTATATTCATCCTTGGTGTGTTACCATCTCCAACTTTTGTGGGATATGATTATATGGTTTGTCCTATTCTACCATCTTTGGTTAATATGAAGCATAATTGTGATATCGATTGGCAAGTTATAGATGATAAAGTCTAATTTTTGGAAAATATTCAAAGATCAAATTTATGGGAAGACGATGTGTATAAACCTGAGTGGATTCCAAGTCATTTTGACAAACTTAATTATTATGAAGATAGTTTTGGAGATGAAGTGGAGATTTCATG